TAGTAAAATTGGTTATTCATATGGGGAAAAATACAATAGAATCTCTATCCCTTGCCATGTACAATATTCATCCAGAGGTAGATTGTAGAATTAAATATAAAAGGAAACATTAAAAGGCATTTTAGAAGGTACCTCAGCATATATGATGATCTCAAAGTAGGAAAATATTTTAATAAACCATAAAGCTATGAAATTAACGACATTAAAATGAAGGATTTCTGTTCAAGTCAGTGAAGCATAAGCAGCTACAAGGGCAAAGGTATTTGCCACACACATAACCAACATGGAACTCAGTCAGAATATGGAGAATTACTAAAACAGAAAATTGTCAACCAGTTTAAAATGAGCAAAAGATTTGAACATGCCACGCTCATAAAAAAGAGACTGTGCCCATCCAACAAATATAAAACAGTGGCCACCTCGTTGGTTATTTGAAAAACTTAAGATTAAAAGAACAAGATGCTATCTTATACCCACAAGATTAGAAAATTATTAAAAATAAAATATCAAGTATTGGTGTGGATGTAGAGCAGTGGTAACACAGTGCTGGTGGGCGAGTTATTGCCAAGCATGTTGGTAAATAGTTTGGTATTTTCTAGTAAAGTTGAAGATAAACATACTTATAGTTTAAGAATATGCTTCTAGAATGATACCCTAGAACAGTGTGTGACTTTGTGTATCAGCAGGACATGTATATTAATGTTCAGGGAAGCACTGTTTATAATAGCTTCAAACTGTAAACAATCCAGTTTGAATTATTCATATAACTATAATTATATGAACTTATAATATATTCATATAATGAAATTGTATGAATGTATACAGAAACATGCAATAACATGGATAAATTCCATTTACAGGCATACCTTGTTTTGTGCTGCACTTTATTTCATTTCACAAGTGTTGCATTTTTTTAACAAACTGAAGGTAAGGCCCTCCAACAGCAAAGAAATTAAAAAATAGGACTTACTGAAGATGGTTAGCATGTTTAGCAATGAAAGTATTTTTTAATTAAGGTATATACATTTTTTTCTTTTGTAGACATAGTGCTATTGCATACTTAGTAGACTACAGTATAGTGTAAGTGTAACTTTTACATGCACTGGAAAATAAAAATATTTGTGTGACTCAGTTTATTGTGATACTTGCCTTATTGCAGTCGTCTGGATCTAAACCCACAATATTTCCCGGGTATGCCTGTATATCCCTCCAAAATTTAAAAACACTTAAACACACATGTTCATAACATCACCATTCACAATAACCAAAAGGTGGAAATAGTGTAAATGTTAATCATTAATTTGTAAGCAGATAGTGGTATATGCATACATTGGAATGTCACTCAGCCGTAAAAGAATGAAGTACTAACACATGTTACAGTCTGGATGAACTTCAGAGACATTGTGCTAAGTGAAAAAGGTCAGACGTAGAAGGTCACATATTGTGTAATTCCATTTATAAGAAATATTCAGAATAGATGAATCCATAATGAGAGATTGGTGGTTGCCAGGGGCTGGGTATGTGAGGTAGTAGGAAGAAATTGCTTATTGGGTAAGGAGTTTTACTTTGGAGTGACAAAACATTTTTTGAACTAGATAAACATGATGGTTGCACAACATTGTAAATTGACTAAAGGTCACTGGATTGTTAACTTTAAAGTGCTTAATTTTACGTAACGTGAATTTCACCTCAATTAGTTACTTTTTAAATGTGAATTGATTTATGATATAAAATAATTGCAACATCTCTTGTAAAGCAAAAACTATAAATAACCCAAATGTTCAGCAATAGGAACTGGTTGAATACATTCGAGTATCCATACACTGGAATCTATAAAAAAGAATTAGGGAGCTCTATACAAACTAATGTGAAAAGGTGTGTAAGATGTATAATTTACTAGGGAAAAAAACCAAGACATGGAACAGTTCATGATACTATTTGTGTTAAAATATGGGGGCAAATTTCACACATACTACTGAGTAGTGGAATTGGGGTGTCATATGGTAATTGTTTAACTTTTTTGAGGAATCACTAAACTGTTTTCCACACCAGTTAAATATTTTAAATTCCCATCATCAGTGTATGAGGTTCCCAAAATTTCTATAACACTTGTTATTCCTTAGCAACACTTGTTATTTCCTGGGCTTTTATTTTTATTGCAGACATCCTAGTGCGTGTGATGTGGTACCGCATTGTGGTTTTGATATGCATTTCCCTAATGACCGTTGATACTAAGCATATATTCATGTGCTTGTTGGCCATTTGTATATCTTGTTTGGAGAAATGTCTGTTCAAGTCCTTTGCTTATTTTTTAACTGGGTTGTTTGCCTTTTATTGAGATGAGTTCTTTATATATTCTTGATATGTAGAAAAATCCATTCCTTTAGGTTTTCTTTTTAGATTCTGATGTTTTTAATGCACAAGTTTTTAATTTTGATGAAGTCCAATTGTCTATTATTTGTTTTATGTGTGTGTGTGTGTGCGTGTGTGTGTGCTTTTGGTGTCATAACTAAGACTCCATTGCTTAATTCAAGATAGTGAAGATTTGCCTCTGTTTTCTACTAAGATATGTATGGCTGTAAGCTCTTATACTTAAGTCGCTGATTCATTTTGAGTTAATTTTTATTTATGGTATTAGGTAAGAGTTCAACTTGATTTTTCTGTTTCCTAATTGTGAATATCCAGTTGTCCCAACACCATTTGTTAAGACTATTTTCCCTCATTGAATGGACCTGGCACCACTGTTATCGATATTTATAAAAGGAAACATTTACGTCAAGAAGGTCTCTTGATCAAAAAGTACGACAAAGAAAGTGAAAAGAAGCTCAGCCAGGGAGCGACATACAGAACAAAATGATTTGTAACTTTCTAGAGTGTGTAAAGTGAACTTAAAAATCAATAAGTAAAAAAAAATAAAAAAATCAATAAGTAAAAGACATCCCAATAAAAAAAATCATCAAAATATGTATTTCCCCAAAGAAGGAAAAGTGAATGGCCAATTATAGGTCTGAAAGGGTGCTCAACTCAAATAGTAAACGGCAATGCAGATTTTAACCATGAGATACTATTTGCATGCTCTGAGATTGGCAGAAATAAGACTTATGTTGGCATAAATCTGAAGCAGTGGGAACTAAGATCTGCTCTGTTGTAATGTCAGTTACAACTACTTTGTAAAAAAAGAATATATCTAGTCAAGTTGATTGTGTGCGTTCATGTATTTGTATAACTTAGTAATTCCATGTCTATCAGTGTACTCCAAAGAAATTTTTACACCCACGTGTCAGGACACAAACACAGGAGTGGACAAACGTAGGCTTATGCAAGTAATTAATATTTATTTATTATTGTATTATTTACATATAAACTGTAGACCTACTTTTGCCCATCCCTGTAATAATGATATTCACACTAGTGTTCTCCATAATAATAAAAAAACTAGAAACAATGTAGATATTTATAAACAGAGTGAGAATTGAATACACATAATTTTGAGGAATAAAGCAGGAAAATATAATTAACATTCTGTCTATATACATTTTAAACCATAGGTTTAAGTAGTAAATTGTATAGGATTACTTAGACTTATTTAGGAAAGCTATAAAGGAAATCAAAGAAGTGATAAAATTCAGGATAGCAGTTACTCCGGGAAGTGGAAAGAAAAATATGATTAAGGAGGCACACTGTATTAGTGAAAGATACAGGTGTAGCTGCATTTGACCAAACCGCACATAGTGACATAAACAAGATACAAGTTTCTTTCTTTGTCTTGTAACAGATTGAAAATGTTCTAGACATGACAGCCATGCTAATCCTGTGGTTACCTAGGAGTCAGGCTCTCCTGCCTATTTGATGTTTTGAGCATTACCCTCCTCCACATGGTTACAGTGGCTCCCACCACAGCTCTGTTACAAGTAGCAAGGGGGGGAATGACGATCACTTCCTGAACTGCACATGACTTCTCTTCATGGTCTTCTGGCTAGAATTTAGTAATTTTTAGGTGCAAGGAAGCTTAGCAAATGTGCCCAGCAAAATATCAGAAGTTTTGAACAGGGTGACAGCGCATTTATCAGGAGGAAAGTAGCAGTCTCTTTTACAGGCTTGTGTGGGTGGTGTAAGAGGCAAAAGGCATCAAAGTTATTGATACTGTTCTATTTCTTAAGGTAGGATGGTGAGTATAGGCATTTTTTTTAAAGTTATTTAATGCCTTTCCTATTTTGTTTTGCATATATGAAATGTTTCATTGTTAAAGTTAAAAAATTTAGTGGATATTTTTCAGGATTTTACTTGAATTTTATGCAGCATATGGTATTATTGATCACATCCTCTAGACATTTGCATTTTTATTGGCGAGAATCTCCTGGTTTTTCTCTTATTTCTCCATCTATTCCTTTTCAGCCTCCTGGGCTTCACTTTCTCTGCAGGGGGAAAAAAAGGCCTTTTCCTAGATGCCCCTCACTTGTCTCCATAATTATTTAGGATAGTTTCAAATTGGCTAATGGGTTTCCTGGATTTGGAAAAATTTCAAGAGAAAACTAATTATATGGTAAATATTCAGATTTTATTAATTTTTATTTATAATGCTCTAGCCATATATGGAAAAAGAGAGGTTAGCACATTTTTTCTTTGTAATTTCAAATAAATGTTCCTTATACCTTTCTGAGCTACATCATAAAAGAGCAAATAATTTTAATTAATCAAAAGTACAAATGCATCTTGTAAGGCTAGAAACAGCAACTGTTCCCATAAGTTTATACATATTATATAATTAGAATAATACTTGGAAATGACTCACATTCTTATTCATGTATCCACATGTATCCAATGTACTAGACCACCCAGAAAAATGATTGCATTTCCTAGCCTTTCTTTCAGGTAGGTGTGACTATCTGATTTAAGTCATGGCCAAATGGAATGTAAACAGAAGTCATTATGTAATACATTTTAGCATATATTAACAGGTACTGATTTTCTCCAATGAAATAGTCTCAGACATACACACATTTGAAGTTTTATTCACTTCAAATATTTTTTAATCAAATAGGATAGAATTCAGTTGGTCAGCATTCAAGTTTCAACCTTAGGTCAGGGATGGTGTCAGGTTCTGGGAATACAAAATTAAATATTACAGTCTCACTTTCATGGAGCTAATGGTCCAGGGGAAATCTAGCTGATTGCTATGGTAGGATATGCCCAGTTGCTGTGGGAACACGAGAAAATTTCAGTGGGCCAGGAAGTTCAAACTCAAGAAAGTTCAAACCTAATAAAAAATGTTTTAAAATAGCATCTAAGGGCCTCATTTATTATTAGCATTTTAAATATCAGTTACTTGAAAAACAAAATGAACCCTGATGTTATTGTCAAAAATATGGGTAAGAGTGAGGAAAGGAACACAAGTGACCTTTATTAATTTTTAAAATATTTTCTCTATAGATTTCCCCCGTTGGTTGTATAGTAATTTTATAACCATAAAAATATTTTTAAAATTCAGGATTTAACCCAAATATGTCCAGGATGGGGCAAAAGTATGTTTATAGTTGTTCATATGGAAAATATAATAATAAATAATAATACAAGAATAAACTATTTTGTATACTCAAAACTATAAATCTATTTTTGCCCCATCCTATATTTCTTAATGTAGCAACATACCTTTTTTGATTTAGTAACATGGTTTTCTTGAGATTCCTGGACTCAACTCTTTATCTCAAGAAACTAAAATTCTTGTAACATATTGCATGTTTCCCACATATTTTTTAAGTGTTTTATTTTATTTTATTTATTTATTTATTTTAAATATATTTTATTGATCTTTCACAGAGAGGAAGGGAGAGAGATAGAGAGAGTTAGAAACATCGATGAGAGAGAAACATCGATCAGCCGCCTCCTGCACATCCCCCACTGGGGATGTGCCCGCAACCCAGGTACATGCCCTTGACCGGAATCGAACCCGGGACCTCCCAGTCCGCAGGCTGACGCTCTATCCACTGAGCCAAACCGGTTTTGGCTTAAGTGTTTTATTTTAAATAAATTTTACTTAAACACGTAAAATACTCTTAGTACTTCACTGTTTTTCCAGTGTAAATATTGTCTCTTACTAGAATTTAAGGCAGAGACTCCAGTTTCATTCCTTAGTTGTAATAGGTTGCAAGGAGGAAGCATATACTCAGTTCTTAATCTTAATAGAGTCCCTGCTCAGCATCAGAATTCTTCCTGTAAATGGATTGTAACCATTTTCTTTTCACCCAAAGTTTCTCAAACTCATTTCTGAGATTTTATAAGATGGAAGAAAGACCCATTTTTCATAGACAATGCTCTTTCTTCATTTTGAAAAACTGAAAATGGTCTAGTCAAATCTCATCACATTCATGGCCTTAAGTAATTTCTCTCACTCTATGTCATTTTAAAGGTCTTTCTCCCAATAAAGTCAATAAACAGGAAAACACACACACACACAAATAAAGGTCTTTCTCCGTGGTGACTTAAGCCAGGACTTCTTCCTCTGTTATTCAGATACTCAATTATAACTGTTAACGTTCTCTCTGGTACAGTTTTCAAGAAAAAAAAAAATGAAGTCTTTAAATTATTTTTTTTCCCTTGCAGACTTTGCCTTCAAAAGAAACATTTTTAAATACTGCACAAATGCCTTGCCTGCAGTCAGCTTCAACTTGGAGTAGCTGTGAACACAATTCAAAGTCTAAAATATTAAGCGAACATGTATCAGAGTTAGACTCTTCTTTCCATTCTGTTCTATCATTGCCATCAGGTAAGCCTCTTTATAACGAAATTTCTGAGTAACTGAATATTTTCTATGGTAAAATCTAATCCTATAAATAAAATGAGTCTATAAAAGGAATCAATAGGCTTTAATCTGTAAAAGATTCATTTTGTGATTCATAATACTAGCAAACTAAGTAATGTAAAAGCTGACTTCTTCATAAAAGGTTGCATCTGATTTATAGTGGTTTTTCCTTCAAGTAATGAAATGCAAAGGTTGTGGGGGTGGAGTGGAATGATCTTAAAAAGAATCAGTCAGATTTGGCTGTGTTTTATGAAAGACTTTCAGATACATTTGTTCTCATCTGTGAATATTTATAATTTTGTTCCTTTTATGTCCTATTTTAGTTGTTCATCATTTGTTTAAGACATATAACCAGTAATTCCAAAATACTACTAATTTGTTTTGAAAGAGTATTCTGCTACTTAAAAAAGTTGACTTTTTAACCTTTGCTTATTTTTCTAAGGCTTTGTGCTAATCATAGAAAGAAAGCAATTTTACTGAACCTGTATGATTGATGTTCACTAAAGATAATTTTTTTAAAAACGTTATTTTTCCAGATGTGCCTCTTCATTTTCACTTTGAAACATTGTTGAAAACGACTGAAATAAAAGGAGATCTTGCTGAAAATAAATTTGTAGGAGACTGTATCATATCTCCATCCCCTGGTATGTTACTTACAAATCTTGTACTTTCTATATATCTTCTATATCTTTCATATGCTTATTACTTTTGCTTTCAATGGAAATAAAATTTAACAAAGGAATAAATGTAAATTCTTAATTTTTAATATTTACTTTTCACAAATTAGACACACACATACATACAAGAAAATACATGGGAGTAATCCTAACAAGAAATGTGGTACTTATTGAAAGAAAATTATGAAATATTATTGATGAATATTAAAGGGAATTTAAATAAATATGGATAAATAGCATTCCTGGATAGTAAGATTAATAAGGATATCATATCAGTTCTCCCTGTTGGTTTAAATGTTTAATGCAATGTAACTTGGAGTTCTAATACAAATTGTTTAACTTAACCAAATAACTGTGAAGCCCATTGGGAAAAATAAATGAGGAAATAGAAAAGGAATTGCTGGAAAAGGATTGAGAAAGTCTGGCACAACCACATACGGAAATATGGCAGAAACCTGTAATAGTTTAGATTCTATTTGGCTTACATTTAGGGAAGTAGATCCATGAAGCCAACTAATAGCTCATACTTTATTATATGAGAAGAGAAAATGGAGACCTATTCATTGAAGAGTATTGTTAGTCTTTTGGGAAAAACTTTGCACAGTCATTTCACCCCATGTATCAGAATAAATTCTAGGTGGTTCAAGAATTTTAAATAACTAAAATTATAAAACTTGAAAAATTAGACTGAAATGTTGTAAGTACTCTAAATGGGGGTGGAAACATTTTCTATGCTTGCAAGTAATCAGAAAAAAAATTAGTATGTTTTTACTATCTGCAAAGCTAAAATCTCAATATCAAAAAGTCATATAAAATGTTTTACTTCTAAAGAAGTTTATTTCCATGGGGAATAACCATCTACTTTAAAAATTCAAGAACCAACTGAATGCCTGTTGGAATTGAAGTTTTGAAGGTAGTAGATTTTAAAATAAATTTCTAAAACCTGGTAGCTTTTACAAATACCAGTAATAATGAGTCAGGCTATGTAGGAATTTTATCCTAGACACACTGACAATCAAAATATAACACTTCTAGGATTAAACTTAACAAGGACCTCCTGAGGAAACCATCAAGAGTTTACTGAGGAACATGAGTACATGCTTATTATGAAAAGAAATACCCCATTCCTGTCAAGACAGTTTTAACTTAAGATGCCATTTTCCCCCAAATCAATTTATATGTAGTTCTAAACAGAATTACAGAGGTATTCTTCTTTTGAAAGTTTTTCTGAAGTTTATTCAGAGAGAAAATATTGAATAGCCAGTAAAAATTTTAAAAGATTAATAAGGAGGTGTTAGATAACAGAATGTATTATCCTATCTAATAAAAGACAAAAAGGGTAATTAACCGTGCCTCCACTACGCTTCCCATTGGCTAATCAATGAGATATGCAAATTAACTGCCAACAAAGATGGCGGCTGGCAGCCACGCAGCTGAAGCGAACAGGAGGCTTGCTTGCTCCAGTGATAGAGGAAGCCAACGTTCCTCGCCTACCGCTGCCAGCTTCTGAGCTTGCACTCTAAGCAACACTGTTT